CAAGTAACAGGAGCTCACTCTGTTACGCAGCGCTAGGGATTTGAACTGCCGAACTGCCGACCTTTCTGGTCAACAAGATCAGCATCTTAGCCACTGAGCCACCACATTCCTCAGATAGGTTGTGCTTTGACAAAACCATAGCGCTCCATTTCCTGAATTTACCCAAAGGATTTGGAATTCAGCCTTCTTCTCTTCACAACTCTCAAACTCAGAGGTTCTCGTGGGAATTTTAACAGTTCACCTGTGAGATGTTGTCTTGTGATAGATTAGCATCCATATGAGTGTAGCTTTAAACTTCAGGATATCTCACAACTATTCTCCAATCACTTAGTATGCTGCTTTTTTTTTGTTACTGAACCTTAATAGGATATTCTTGCTCTCTATATAAGGCAAAATATTCAAAATTAAGCTTTCGCCAACCTGTTGCCCTTCAGATATGGCACGACAACATAACACAAGCCTGGCTAACATTTCTTCGCTGCTGCCTGGAACCTCTGGAATTAGTTGTTCCAGCACACTTTGCGGGCTCCGGATTGAGGAAAGCTGTTTTAAATTATCAGACCATGAGAATAAACAGGTATAGATTTTTAAATAAATAAACCTGGTTAATTTAGTTAACCAAGAATTTGTGTTTTAAGTAAGCGATCCATTTTAAGTGACACAATTGTGCTTCTCGACATCAAATTTTGTAACCCAATTATTTCTGATAAACTACCATGCTTTTGAGGCTTGACCTTGCTTCAGTAAAAACCTAATGTTTCAAGGTTTTCTTTTTAAACAATCAATCAAATAATACCAAAACTGTTTTGAAGATTTTCCAATTACAAAATGATTACATCTTTCTAGGGTTATTTTTAATATAGCATTAGTCCAAAGTATTCTACGTTTACAATGCAAACCTCTCTCTGTTTACTCTGAAAATGTAAGTATTGGATTGCATTCTATATTGTTACTTGCGGCCTCAGCTTTCTTTGATGCTATAAGAAAAGATAACTAGAGAATGAAGACTATAATGTAGAACAATATGTAGGAATAATTTGCTCCAAAGGAAGAATAAGGATTTTAGCTTTCCCAGTATTTCTGCCAAGCAAGTTAAAACATTCAGAGGAAATTACCATAGCACTCAAAATGTGCACATACGCATTTATTGTTTCATTTTTATTATTTGCTTTCTTTCTGCCCAGATAAATATTTAGGGCAACATTAAAATTCCTGCTTAACATTTGTGTCCCATTGTAAACTCCATGGCATCATTATAATTTCCACATGTTATCATCCCAGCAAAATAATGTATTATTTACTATAACGTTGCCAGGAAGAGCACGTGAAGTTTTGATAATTTTGAAGTGTTATTATCTGCAGATGGGATCTACGATTAATATTTCATATTTACTATTTTGCACCTAGTAAGCAAGATACATACTGATTATCTACTTCAGCTACATATGAAGTAGTGCTTGCTATTTCAATCATTTTTAAGAGGAGTCATATATAACCATTCTATCTGCTTTTTGCAAGTGGTATTTTTTCCAATTCAACAGAAGAGTTTCTAACTTGAGTACACACAAAAGTGGTGTAGCTTATGGAATTTTCCCTAAATCAATAAAGTTGTAGCAAACAGCTTCTTTATTCTGACTGCAGACATGTACATTGCAAAGCTTCTTGGTTTTCTTTTTTTTGAATAATACATACGTTGCCATTCCACAAACATAAAACATCTTATTAAAATCCTGTTCTGAAATGTGCAAGAGAACCAGTTTGCTGTAATGATTAAGGCAATAAGAAAAGCATGAGTTCTAATCTTATATTAAATATTGCTTCTCTCTCAACCCTAGAAAGAATGCAAGGGCAAACTGATTCTGAAAAATC